TTCATGTAAGTGAGGAATCTCCTGAAAACCGGGAGTTAAAAACCCCCAAGAACCATTTTGAGAAGTAAATCTTAAGGTATGTTTTACAAGTTCCCTCAGACTTTTAAATTTTTTTTTGTTCCCCCCCCCCCCCCCCCCAAGAATCTAAAATCATTTGACTGTTTTTGGCAGATTGCTTTGAAACTAGTACGCGAAGGAGCATCCGCAGAAGCACCTGCAGTTTCGGCTGATGTTGCTGACGCTGAAGATACTAAAACTTTGGCCAACACTGAGACCTCTGAAGAAGGATCCACTGTGTTGATAGATGAGTCAGCAAATGGGGACTCAACAGAATCAACTGAAACTGTTGAAAAGGTTGTGGTTGATGAATCAGACCTTGCAGATTATGTTGGAAAACCGGTATTCCACGCAGACAGGATCTATGAACAGACACCAGTCGGGGTTGTAATGGGTCTAGCTTGGACGTCTATGGGTGGCTCAACGTTGTACATAGAGACAACCTTTGTAGAAGAAGTAAAACGCAAAGGCGGTCTTCATGTAACGGGCCGGCTCGGGGATGTGATGAAAGAAAGTGCACAGATAGCTCACACGGTCGCGAGAAGAATCATGCAAGAGAAAAAACCCAAGAACATGTTCTTTGCGAATTCCAAGCTTCATCTTCATGTTCCTGAAGGATCCACACCAAAAGACGGTCCAAGCGCAGGCTGCACCATGATCACTTCGTTGCTATCACTTGCCATGAAGAAGCCTGTAAGGAAGGATCTTGCAATGACCGGAGAAGTCACCTTAACCGGTAGAATTCTTCTAATTGGCGGCGTAAGTCTCTCACACACACAATACAGTTACTCTGTTTTAGCTTTTTGGTTACCCAAAATATTTCTACTAAGTTGATAAACTATACACAAAATCTCTCACAGGTTAAGGAGAAGACTATAGCTGCGAGACGGAGTCAAGTGAAGATGATTATATTCCCGGAGGGTAACCGTAAAGATTTTGATGAGCTCCCGGAGAACGTGAAAGAAGGGCTCGATGTTCATTTCGTCGATGAATATGAGCAGATTTTCGAGCTAGCCTTTGGCTATGACCATTAGAAGAAGTCTCTCACTTGGTATCTTCCTATGTTGTTGTTTTCACTATGTATCAATTATCATTGATACTTCATTCGTTAGGCTGATCTAACTCTTCTTACCACAAAGATGGCTGTTGTAAAATTTTCTACTAATGAGGGTAATTTATATATGAAATTGGATATTTTTGGAGTAGAAATCAAAACCCTAATCGTAAACATTTTGTTGTTAAATTAAAAGATTCAGAATCCTTTTTCCAACTTCACCAAGAGCTTTTGTGATGTAAACATAGAATGAAAAAAAAAAAAACTTTTCGAGTATATAATGTAAGGTTATAATCTTTGGATTATTTTGTATCGAAATCCATCGGCACAAAAAAAAAGGACGATCGGTAACACTTATAACAACTATTTGAGTCCAGTGATCATTCTCTTCTATTATTGCATCAAAGTCAACAAACCAATAGACTAAATAGAAACAGACTAAAACCTAAAACCCAAAACCTAATTTCATCATTTCTCCTTCCATATTACCCAGCAATCCAACGAGGGAGACAGCCCATTTTGAAGAATACGACTTCAAAATTCCAAAGGCTTGTTGTAAGATTAGATGACGATCGATTCTGGATCCAGGGTACCTCTGTAGTGATGTCTCTGATCGGGATAGTGTTGCAGCGAGAAGCGATGGGATTCCAGATTCGCCATGAGAAGGGACAATTGAAGAATTCCCGAATCTCCGGAGATGAGTTACAGAGGAGACACAGGAAGCTTTTCCGAGGGATGCCTTCTCTTCTCCGGCGAGAAACGGAGTGTGGGCTTCGCGCCGGTTGTTTACCGGCGGGATGCTTTTTTTCCCGAAGAGACTACAGTTTCACTTCATTAAAAGAAATGCTGACGTGGTAAAAGAGTGGCTGACGTGGAAAAAGGATGGCTGACGTGTCTCCCTTCAACTGCAAAGTATATATATAGACACGATGATACAAATCAAAATCACGCCACTTCATCATCTGTCTCTCATTCTTTCACTCTTTCATCGTCTTCTTCTTCTTCATCTTTTGCCTCTTTGCTTCAAGAATCAAAGAAAACCAACGGTGCAAATCCCACTTCAGCATCGTCTCTCTCTCTGACCCCTACTCTCATCTGTAAGTTCGTTCTTCTTTTTTCATACTGTCGTATAGATTTAGGGGGAACAGAGCAAAAGAAAACGAAATTGTTTCTTCTTCGTCGTCCTCTTCAACATGGATCTTGATTCGCTGTTCTCAGGAACTAGTAACAAAAGATTTCTTCATCTTCTCTCTCAGGAGAACGAAATGGCCTCGAATCCTCCCGAAAAGCGGAAGCCTCTGAACTACCAAATTTACAAGATCATCGTTGGTCAATGGACTTGCGAGTCCGTGTACCTGGATACTCTCATCTTCAAATGCCTCTTCCCAGCAAAGAAACTGGTTTGGGAATATCTGGATTACAGTGTTGCTAACAGGGAAAGGATAAAGAAACGAATTGAGATTGATTGGGCTGATATATTGTCTATCAGAAGACATACTAATTCACTTGAAGTTGAGGTAATAATCTGTGTTCTTACACATTCTGCTTGTTTTTTGAGCCTAGTGACGATAATTCTTTTTTAAATCGTAGCTGAGAAAACCTCCAAGATTCGTAAAGGAACCCAGTCATAGGCCATATAGAAGTACTGAGTGGATTGCGACTGAAGAAGATTTTACCTCGAATCAGGCTTCTGTTTGCAGGTTTGCTTCTTTTTGGTTTTCGTATGGATGAAATAGATTTCAAACCCTAACTTATGTATACGTAACAGGAGGCAAACATTCCATTTTACTCCTGGGGATCTGCAAGAGATCATGGAGAAGCTTGTGTCTGGCGATAAGTTCTGGTCCGACCTCGTCAAGATCCCTTTCCCCACTCTACCAGAATCTCTTTACTTTGAACAAAACGGGAACAACGATAACCAGTCTCAAGGTAGCTTCAGCGTCAACATGGACCTTCTTCACCACCAGTCTCAAGGTACTTAACTTTGAACCTTACACAACTTATTTTATATGCGGGTCTGTCTATTATATGAAGAAAGACCGTTGTTATGATAGGATTTGGTCGTGTTCAAGCGGGAGAAGGGAACTTTAGAATGGCAACACAGTTCTTGCCTAATGATGGGAGGCAAGTTTCATTTGTTCAATTGCGTGAGGCGCAGTCTCTCCTACCATCGTCTCAGTTGATGAACGAGCAATATAACAGGTTGTTGCAAGGCAGGAGCCAGATGAGAAACACATGGGGATTACTTGGGACACAAACAAATATGATGTCTGGCTATGGAAACAACAACAGAAATTCTCAAGGTACTTAACTATGAACCTAATGCAAATACTTTGTTTAAATATGATTCTGTATGCATGATGAAAACAGGAAAAACAATAACCTACTAATTTGATAGGATCTGGTCGTGTGGAAGTGGGAGATAACATTAAACAACATGTATGGGATGATTATGGGAAGCACATTGGCGTAGTTGGTGAAGACATGAGCCTAGTGAGAATCACAGGAGAGTTCCATGGGACGCAAACTAACTCGACGATGCTTCAAGAAGGGATGATGTCTGGCTATGGAAACAACATGAACAGCAATTCTCAAGGTACTTAACTATGAACCTTATGCAAATACTTTGTTTAAATATGATTCTGTATGCATGATGAAAACAGAAAAAACAATAACCTATTACTTTGATAGGATCTGGTCGTGTGGAAGTGGGAGATAACATTAAACAACATGAATGGGATGATTATGGGAAGCACATTGGAGTGAGAATCACAGGAGAGTTCCATGGGACGCAAACTAACTCGACGATGCTTCAAGAAAGGATGAGGGAGAATCTTGATAAGGATCGTAAAGGTTTTTTGGTAGTATATAGGTGATCTAGGAGGCAATGGCTTGAATGAGTAATGACTAATGACTATAACTGAAACTTCGGAACTATGTTTTTTTTTTTTTTTTCTGTGGGTACAACACTGTAAATTTGGGGAGATTTTTCTTGGTCGACGACCATCCATTGTGGTACTTGTAAAAAGATCGTGTCAATGTAGGAATTCTATTATAATTTCTAAATAAAGAAAGGAGTTAGATACGATCTTAAACTTCTAATTTGTTACATTCTATATAAATGAAGTTCACAAAAAAAATAGTACACTAATCCATAATTGTTTTTATCAACTCATCTTATTTTCTGAACTTATATAAGACAAAACGATTTATCTTAGCAAATACAAAGAATAAGATGATGCTATTACCTAAACCATGCAAAAGTAGAAGAAAAAGAATTAAAGAATGGATGAAATTTGGTCGGGTCACAATTTACTTGTTTGGTCTTCTTCTAATGGTTATAGCCAAAGACTAACTCGAATATTTGCTCATATTCATCGACGAAATGAACGTCAATTCCTTGTTTCACGTCGTCCTCGAGCTCATAAAATTCTCTCCGGTTAGCTTCAGGGAATATTATGGTCGTGACTTGAGTCCGTCTTGCACCTATGGTCATCTCCTTCACCTGAGATACAGAGTAAAAGGGAGATTTTGTGTATAATGGCTCTTTCACAAGAACTTAAATCGTTAGCTAAAAAGGCTAACAGAGTATAGTAATAGTGTAGTGTGTTGACTGTTGACTTACGCTGGCAATTCCAAGAATTTTACCAGTTGGAGTGAGTGTTCCGGCCATTGCGAGATTCTTCCTCACAGGTTTGTCCATGGCCAGTGATAGAAAGGATGTGAGAATGGTGCAGCCTGCGCTTGTACCGTTAATTGTGGAATAAGTAGGCAAATATATGCTAAGCACGGAATCCTCAAAGAACGTGTTCTCAGGTTTTTTCTCGAGGAGGATTTGGTAAGCGAGATCAAAAGCGATGTCAAGACTTCTTAGCAACTCTTCTCCAGGTTGGCTCCTTATAGGGAGACAGCCTTCGCCATCATGTTTATCTTCAAGTGTTGTCGTCACATACAATGCTGAGCCGCCTCTGTACGTCATAGCTAACCACATAGAAACCCCGACATGTGTCTGCTCATACAAAGCTGATTTGCCAACATAATCTTCAATTCCTACCCTTTCGTATTCTTCTCTGAAATCAGTTTGATAATCTTCATTATTACATCCAAATACTAGATCAAATATTTGCTTGTATTCATGGACGAAATGAACGTCGAGTCCTTCTTTCAAGTAGTTTTCGAGCTCATCAAAGTCATCCCGGTTAGCTTCCGGGAATATGATCGTCTTCACTTGGCTCTGTCTTGCACCAATTGTCTTCTCTTTCACCTGAGAGTGGGAGAAAGAGAGATTTTGTGTGTAATGGCTCTTTTATTTGATGCCTTGGCTAGAACTTAATCAATAACTAAACAGAGTATTTGTATTGTAGTGTGTGTGTGTGTGACTTACGGAGCCAATTCGAAGGAGTCTACCGGTTGGAGTGATTGTCCCGGTCATTGAAAGATTCTTCCTCACAGGTTTGTTCATGGCAAGTGATAACAAGGATGTGGTGATGGTGCAGCCTGCGCTTGTGCCTTTACCTCTAGGTAAATCTAGGCAAAGTATGGAGTTGGCAAAGAAGTTGTTCTTGGGTTGTGTCTGGAGAAGGATCTGTTTGGCAACTGTGTAAGCGATGTCAGCGCTTTCTATCGTCTCTTCCCCAACATATCCCGTTACATAGAGGTAGCCTATGGCTTCAGCTTCCTTGATAACTCTTGTTTCCATGTATAATGTTGAGCCACCTGTTGATGTCAAAGACAGAGCCATAGCAACCCCAACCCGTGTATACTCATCCATAGCAACTGGTCCTGACTCTGGCAGAAGCTGATTCCGTTCCTTCCCAAGACCCAGTTGTTTGTTAAACAAGTCAAGTAACAAAGTCTTGTTTAAAACATCTTTTAAGTATGGTGAGAACCTGAGAGATACCTCTATCTTAACGATTTCCATTTCTTGTCTACCCAATCGAAGCGTCAACTGCAGTCGTTTATGAACAAGGACCGATAAAAATTATCAGAGACGCATTCAAATACCAGGTATCTAAACACCAAAATTATATATAGAAACAAAATATATAATACACTTACATCAACTTCTTGTATAACTTGTTGAGCTTGGTGTTTTCTACCACATGGTATCGCGGCTCCAAAATCAGGTAAATATATATAGAACTGGTCCTCCAAAACTGGTCCTGACTCTGCTTCAGCTTCTGGCAGGAACTGATTCTGTTCCTTCCCAAGACCCTTTTGTTTGTTAAGCAAGTCAAGTAACAAAGTCTTGTTTAAAACATTTTTAAGTATGGTGAGAACCTGCAAGATACCTCTATCTTGACGATTTCCATTTCTTTTCTACCCAATCGAAGCGTTAACTGCAGTCGTTTATGAACAAGTACCGAGAAATCATCAGAGACGCATACATGATACATATTAGGTATCTAAACACCAAACTTAAATATTTAAAACAGAATATATAATACACTTACATCAACTTCTTGCATAACTACTTGTTGAGCTTGGTGTTTTCTACCACATGGTATCGCGGCTCCAAAGTCAGGTAAATATGGGTACCTGAAGTCGCCTATATGCTACACAAGTTTTCCAAAAGGAGAAAAACGTTTGCTAATTAATACTCTTTATATATATCCCAACAACCTCTAGTGCGCACCAAAAAAAAAAGAACAAAAAATTAACTCCTTAAACAAAAACAATACATCATCTTATCATGTTTTGATTGGTTGGATAGATAAAACATACGTGAAAGTAGATCCAAAGATGAGTTTCGGAATTTCCTTCTCTAAGCGGTAAGATAATAAACTAACCGTTGATTTGAAAGTTGTGTTAGACGCCAGATCATGCTCTGTCTCGACTACTTTAGTCTCGGTCTCCATCGCCGTGTGTCTGGTTCCCAACTCGACGGTGAGCTGACTCGGCTCTGCTCTAAAACCCTTTTCTCCTTTGTAGTAAACTAATAGTCAACTCTTCTTTAATGGTACTAGAAAAGCCAAAATAAATAAAAACATAACAGAAAAACATAAAAAAATCCGTCTTAAGGCACAATGTAAACTGTAACGCTTTCGTCAAAGCTTCTAAAGAGAAAAATTTAAACAAAACTATTTCTCCTTTTGTAAGGCACAATGAAACGATCTCATTATGAAATGATAGATTACAAAGTATCAAACTTTGGATCAAAAACGTTTTACAACATAAAGACACAAATGATCAAATGATGATGCTCCTCATGATTTTTTGGAAGATCCGAATCCCCCAAACCCCATCATCTCTGCAACCTCGGGATCCATTTCAGGCTCCTCTTCCATCACCTTCCCTTTCTGGAAAAATAAATTTTGAAAAACCACAAGTCAGATTTCCAAAAGAAAATCATAATAATGGCCAATCAAAGAAAAAACAAAAAAATAGTGAGCTCAAGAAGACATCTTATCTATTGAAACTTGCCTTCTTCTCTTTCTTTTTCTCCCGCCGCTGCCGTTTTAGTTCTTCCTCTTCTTCTTGCTGTTTCCGGATCCGTTCGTCCAAGTCTATTCCCATATCATGAGCAAATTCAGATATCCGAAATCTACTATGCATTAGAGAATAGTTTCTGTTTTCTGATGAAACATCAGACTCCGTGTAACTAAGAGATGGGTGCTCTCAGAGGTCTTACCTTGTTCTGTGAAAGTTCCAGGCGTTTTACGCTTCTTTAACACCTCGAACCGCTCCTGGACCTAATGCATTCAAACCATAAGCACTTTTGTCTCAGATTCAGTCATATGCAAAACACCATGAAAGCATTTAAGTACATAGTGCCTGGGAGAAAAAAATGTACTTGTTCAAGAGAGGATCTCTCCACCCGCATAGACATTCCCAACGCCCTTTGATCTGCGAGAAACATAAACAAAACCGTCTAGTTCATTACATTTTGCAAACAAACTGAATATTCCATCCAACAATTTAATGGCTTCAAACTGAATTTGATTTCTTTCGTTTGACTTGTTAGAAATATGGTGAGTAAAGAGCAGATTAAAGGGTCAAGGGTCACCACGTACGTTTTTTCCCATTTATGTGATCCAAGTAGTTTGCCGAATCTTTAACAACACATTCACAAACGCGACAGAAATAACCGGCCTGTGGGAAGACAAAGAGCATTAGCAGATACCCGTGTAACAACAAGTGTTTTCTTAAGGTCATATTTGCGAGTAAACCTAGAAACAGCCATTACCTGCTGACTTAGAGGCGCTACCGGTGTAACAACCTGGTAATATGAGCAAAAGAACATCAGATTATCAAGGACCCTTGGACAAAATTGCCATATCAAAAGGAATACAAGGACTAAACTGATATCAAACAACCTAATATTGATTCAGCTCATATATAAAAAACACTCGTGCAATAACTAGTTGAAACATCAATGCCGTCCAAACATCAAAACAATAACATGATATATAGGTAATCATTCCCCAACCTTCATCTGTTTTTCAGGGAACACAAGAACTTTACCCAATAAAGCACACCAGCTACTATGTATTATCAGGTACTCTTAAAAAGGATCGATCGATCCATAAACCAAATGTGCAAGCTTTAAAGTGGATTCCTCATGTAAAAGAGACCCAGATAGAACATCATCCGTGACGCAGCTGAGTAGCAGACTCGCTCATCCAAGAACAAATGGACAAATTTTACTTCCTTAATTCTCTTTGTTAGGAGATAAGCCAAAGCTAAGCTTGCAAGTTTCTATTCAATCCAAATGGTGCCATCATATACGAATACCACTAAAAATAAAAGGGTTATTAAGAGCCGAAAAAAAAAAAGGGTTATTAAGAGAGATAAAGTCACCTGTGTCTTCCCCAGACGAGATTCCAGGTCTACATGATAATCTCTATGCTTCAAAGGTGCTCTTTGCACAGGAGGGCCTTTGGCTGCAACAACAACCCTAGTTAATGACATCATAGATTTCAAAAATTTTAACTTTTTTTTCATAAGCCAAATCAAAGAAGTAGCCTTACACCGAGACTTAGACCGGTCCGACTCCTGCATCGAGAAGAGAAGAAAACCCGTTTTCAAAACTGAAACTTGAACAAATTAGAGATTGAAAAATAATATTCTTGTTGGAGAAACCAAACCTTGTTTTCGCGTTCACGTGCTCGTTCCCGATACTCTTCCGTATCGAACTTCTTTCTGAACGTGTTATCAACCCCAGTGGTAGTCTACAAAATCGAAGCAAAACACAAATCGAAACTCAGAATCGAATCGTCGTTACCCATAACCCAAAGTAGCAAGAGAGAACCATAGGATCAAGCGTATGCTTACGGTGTTGCTAGAAGCCATTGTAGAACACAAAGGTAAAAGGTTTGAGGAAGGAGAGGATACACTGATGTGAATATAAATTCGACCCAATTTTTTCCGGTCCCTGAAGAACAATAGAGTCAGACCCACCGCACAAAGACGGCAATTTCTTTCACGATAATAATTAGTTTAACGGTGCTAAGTAGCAAACGACTAGGGCGTTTGGTCTAGTGGTATGATTCTCGCTTCGGGTGCGAGAGGTCCCGAGTTCGATTCTCGGAACGCCCCCCCTTTAAAATTTTTAATCACACTTTCACAGAAACGCCTTCCCGTTTCGCTTTAATTTTTTTATACTCCATGCCGTTTGGATATAAAATTTATTTTCTTATACTAGTTGCCATCTGTGAGAGATATTCAAAGAATGCTTCTCTTTCTAATCATGCTTAACAAACACATAGAAACAACAAATCATTGTGTGAAATTGGACAAACATGAAGAAGATTGCTTTGTTAGAAACACAAGAGAAGATCAATAACTAAGTCATCAACTAATTCAGAAAAAATCTCTTCTTCAATCTCAACTGCTTCTTCGTAACTCTCTCTCTCGTAATCAAGCCATTTCCCTTCGAAACTACTCATGTCATTGTCAACGAGCTCATCCATCATCATCTCTCTCATCTTTTTCAATCCCTCAATCTCTTTCTTCACTTTTTCAGCTAAAATCTCTTTCCTTTCAAACAAAACCCCTTCTTTCCCCAGCAATCCTCTGTAGCTTCCCATGAACATCTTCTCGCATTTGAGTGTTAAGCACTGATTCACAGATTCAAACAGCGTCATTCTCTCGATCTTGCCCCGTGCATCTCTCTTACCTTCAAGTTCATCGAAAAGGTTGAAAGGTAATATATCAGTAGCCACCCCCAAGGAGATTTCTTTAACCATCAGTTGCCCAGAGGCTATGATCTCGTTTATGTACTCGAGCTCCCAGTCATAGCCTTCTTCAGCTTCTGCTACTGAGAGTTCTCTTTCTTCAATCTCATGGTGAGGTTCATTGTGTGAACTTGAGATACTCTCGCTCCAGGATATCTGGAGATCCTCCGCTTCTGTTACATTGCTGAAGCTGTTAACTTCCTGCTCTTCTACCTGCATCAAATGAAAATATGAAAATTTCTCAGTAACTTGGTCGGAAAACATTATGGTAATACAAATATAACGACTAAAAGAAACAGTATCAGACTAACCTGGAATTTTCGGTTATTGTAGAATGAAGTAGAGTCAGAAACAGATTCGCTCTCTGATGAAACTTTATCCAGATCATCTGATGGCAATGATATCGTCCCATTCACCCAATCCTTTGAAATGGAACACGAAGACTCTTCTTCTTGGGTAAGGCTACTGCTAGATGACTCAATCTTAGAGGTTAGCTCCCCGAGCTTTTGTTCCAACAGAATGTTTAGAGAATCACCGTCGATCGCACTGAAACTAAGCGCACACTGTCTATCTTGATCTGTCTTTTTAGTGGAGGATCGTGAATCCGATGATATACCCTTGATCGGGGATGAGAAAGTGAACGAAATCACATCCATGTCCTTCTTCCGATCATCTTCCTCTGTCTTCAACCGGCCATCAACGGTGATGTTACATTTTATCAACTTTTCACTCCTTTTGATCCGTTTATCGTTGATATTTCCGGGTTCTTGGACACCACTTGGCGGTTTTTTGTTGCGGGGAAGATTCTTTTTGCGGGAGAAAGGTAAAGTAGAGTTTTTTTCCGCCGATGTTGCTGTAAAACCAGGCTTTTTAGATGTAGTTCCGCTTTCTACCAAAACCTTGTTTACAACTTTGTTCATCACTTTGCTGCCTTTCTGGTTTGAAACAGACGTCACAGCGAATTGGTTCTGTTTCTGGTTATTTGGCTTGACCACAGTTTTCCCAGTGCTAGCAGAAGATTCTTTGAGACCATTTTTTATCACACGGTTCTTAGTGTCCATCTTCTCCTTCTGGCCTCTGTTGCCACTTGAGGTCGTTGAGCTGTTTTGCTTATGAATAGTATTGGCCTTTGCGTGCGCAGATACAGAAGGCGGCTTCACTTTACCCTTCAAACCATCAAAACTGGTTTTACCCAATAACGTATTTGTCTCCTGTGTCTTGAGTGATGATGTAGTTCTCTTATCGTCGTGCTTTCCTCTTGAATACTTATTGTTGCGGGTACCATTAGAGATTTGAGGGCTTGGTCCTCTGTGTGAAGCTTCTAGTTTCTCCTTCAGATCTCTGATCCTCATTGGAAACGATGAAGAAGAATCAGATGGTGAAAACCTTGGCTTAGCAGCTATCAGAGGACTAGGCTCAATCACTCTCGAAGCTGCTTCCATTACATAAGCAGGATTTCTGGACTGAACATAGCCAGGACTCCGGATAGGTGACAAAAGCCTACTGTGAGTGACAGAGATTGGTTTAGCTGACCGTGGAGGTAACGTCTCTGTTTGAAAGCGGTCAATAGGCCGGGTACGCTCGTTATTCGTTCTCGAATCCAAATGGTCCCAAGAAATACCATCATAGTCAGTGCGGAGATTTACATAACCCAAATTCTCATAGGCATCCCATGTACTTGCCTTGCGTGAAGATCTGAGGAAGAATGGATCAAAATCAGAATTTGACCGAGGTTTCAGGGAATTTGACACAGGTAGAGACTCTAAACCCATGAGCCTCCCGACTACACTCGGGGCTCTTGAACCTTGTCCGTCATCACTAGTAACAGTGGATGTCGAACAACTCGAGTCGCTTCTCGGATTGTAAGTCGAATTCTTTCCAATCTCATCAATCTTCTAAAGAAAAAAAAAAACAGATCAAAGACTATTGGTTACTGTCATTCACTAAGTTCAAAAGAAGAGGGGAAAAAATGGTACTGAGAAGCCTTACCGGAGAGTGCCATGACTTTGAGGGGTTTTGAGTATTTTGTTTCTCTTGCTTTGATGCTTCTGATACAAACAAAGAGGACAAGACCTTTGAGTTTATTGAACAAGAGCCCAAAGAAAAAATGCATTATCTTCGATTCATCCACACAAGAAGTCATTTTTACGACATAGAAAAAATTGAATCAAAAAGCATGACGAGAATTCAACAAAGGGCTTCAGCAAAAGGAACCATTTTCTATAACCTATACCAGACATTTGGTAAGAACACATATAGTATTTTTGTTTTGCAGACATTACCGGAGGGTTCTAAGGTGATGGTAGAGGAGAAGAGCTTCTTCCGGGATTTACCAGGCCAATCAAACAGATTTAGGAACCCTCCTTTCGTTCGTTTCCCCTCAATAGCCTCCGTTTCTATCATCTACAGATCACAACAATTGAATCACTTGTACGGAATGCATGATTATCATACTTGACATTGGATTTTGACTCTTAAGTATTTCAGAGCTCAGCCAACTATTTCAGATTGATTATCTATTAAGTTTTTCAATGATGAGGACAAAAGGACTAAATTTTGGACAGTAACCGGATAAAACAGGAATACAGACAAATCAAATGATTCATCAGACCAAAAGTAAAACAAAAAAAAAAACTCATAAATGCGTAGAAGGGTACCGCATTCGATAGTTTCTAAAACGTTCACAGGAAGATGTTGGCTCGGAGAAGAAAACCCAGAAGTGTCGAGCAAAATTGGGCCAAAATCCAAGCGTGATGAGAAAAATCTGTGAAGCTGAACACTGAAACCCTAAAAACCAATGAAAGCCTTTCACTTTTCTCTCCCTCTCTCTCACTGAAAATTTCTCAAACCTACCTGAACCCAAATGGGTAAAGAAGAAAAGCACGACGAGAGAAACAAATCAGTGGAAAGAACGAAAAATTGAGTTTTTTTTAGAAATGGGTCAGAGGAACAAGAATGGTAAAGAGAGTGAGGACGAAGAAAACGGATACAATTTACGATTTGGGATTTGGAAATTTGGGATTTTGGGATTTGGGTTTGAGTACAGACCTAAAGAAGAAGCAGCGGAGAGAGCGCTCGTATAAAAAAATAAACAGATGCAGAGTGTGAATTGATGTGACAAGAAGAGAGAGACTTTGAATTAATCTCTCTCCACCTCTGGAAATTAAATGTGTCATTGTTTTCTGTAAAAAAAAAAAAAAAGACTTTTTGGTCGATATGATGAATTTTGTGTTGGTGAACAGATAGTCAGATACGGATTTTAATGTTATTGCAAGAGAAAATCGATTGTACATTGATTTGAAGATGAAGGAACAAACCAATTGCGCAAACGAAATGACTACATTATGCAGTCGTTTAAACTTCCAAATCTAAAACAAATTTAATTCTTTAAATCACAATATATTGTTATATATCGATCGAATCACCACTAGTGAGAAAAGAAACTTATCTTCTGTCCTCTGTTGGAAAACATTCGAACATCAATTAAGTACTGAACGTAATCATCTGTTGGAGTATAATGATATATATATATATATATATATTTAACTAAATCGATTTTCTCTAACTTTAAACTTTTTTATTTATTTTAAATTCTCTCAACCTTAACTGCTTAAACAGAGGGTATTATAAAAAACTAATGGTTATAGATCTAAAATCGTCTTCATCATTTTTTATTCCAGAAATGATAAAAATTATCAAAACTCATGTAACTAAAAGATTAAACACTAGCGATATACAAGTTCTATATATTGGAAATACTAACAGAAATTTGAAAATTCAATGAAATATATAAAAATGATTTGTTACAATAATATTTATAACTTATAAGTATATCAGTGATTTTTACAAGTATATTATTAAACCAATGATGTTAAAATTAATAGTATATATGTTTTAAATTTTCGATAACACAAGCGAGATCTCTATTAAGGATCTCTATATTTTATTTATGATCCAACCAACTCCCTTCATTAATGGAGGACTCGTAAGAGGACCGTAATAAATCGCATCATCTCTAGCTTCGTTAACATACGTGCCATGGTGAGGCTTTGTTGCAGGGCCCTGTCGATAGCCGAGAAACTCCGCAGAGATCTTATAATCAGCTCCTTTGTACACTCTACACACGATAAAGAGCGGTAGATAGACGTTATCGACGACACTGAATTGGTAATCTTTTCCGCCCGGTCTCAGATAATGGACACCAAAATCCTGTATTTTTTTTATGGCACTCTTTCTTCTATCGTCACAATGTACCTTGAGCCATCTTTTTTTGTGAAAGGCGGTTCTTGATTATGATTGTTGTCGTTCTCGCTTCAAATAGATTGATGCAAAGGATGAAAACAAATAGAAATATTGAAAGATTTTTCATTATTTTCTTTCTAGATGTTTTTCTCATGTTTTTTGTTTTGTTAACTTGTTTTCTTGTTTATCGTTTTATATATATACATGTGTGCTTTGCTAGTTTTGAATACACGTTTTTCTTTGTGTTGTTCTATTATTAGACATTTTTCTAATTCGTTTCCGAAGCAATATATTTACAGTGGATTAAAAAATATGTGATTAATCATACCAAAAAAAAAAAAAAATATATATATATATATATGTGATTAAGATATGTGGTTTACACTTTTCGATAATATTGGTTTCTTTTGACAAATAAAGTTTGAAAACACTTCTTATGGTGGGAAAAAAAAACAATTAGAAAATATGTGCGCATTGTGCGGTTAGGCCCAACGAACAAATATAAAACATCAAATGGTATTATTATTGAACTATATGTGTTTTAACATTCATCTACTATGTGACACATTAAGAAACTTATCTTAATTATGGCGTTAAGTATCCTTTATAAGTAGAAAACAACAACAAAAGCATAACGTTTAGCGGTCAATGCAATTGCTTCTCTAACCAATGCACAAAAACATAAACTTATGTATTCTTAACAAAATTAATTAATAACGCATTCATTCTTCAAACAGTTTTATCTGCATAATAAATTGGGAGAACAATTCATTAAAACAGGAGTTGCAATTCCACAAGAAAAACAGTATATATAGAAAGATTAGTCATTCATACAACAACACTAAAACATCATACAGATTTTAACATTTATCTAAGGCAAGCAATGGGTATTTCTTGCATCACAAGAAACACATATCCCATCCCCCTTCTTCTTCTTCTTCTGATCCTAATCATCGTCCCTTCGTCTTCTTCATTTGCTCCCACAGACATCGTCACAAAAGTCCTCCTCATCAAACTCTGCTCACAATCAACAATTCACAGTCATCGCTTTTGCGTCAGATGGCTAACCGCAGATCACAGAACGACCTCTACGAACATTCATGGCCTTATCGAGCTCACAGTCGATAAAACTCGTGCATTTGGTCTGAAAAACCTAGCATTGATGAACGACTTAGCAAGAGGCTCAGGTAATGATAAGCAGCTCAAGAACGCTTACGAGTCATGTGCGAATAGTTATGGCATAACGATCAAACATCTTGAGGAAGCTAAAGAGTTTTTGCGAAATAGCTCTTTCCAGTTAGCATTTCACGCTGCTTCTAAAGCGCATGATTATGCGTATTTATGCAAAGATCAGTTCGATGGACCTTCTAATGAGCCGCCTTTTGTTCTGCATCGCAGTGAGAAGCTTATCGAAATGTGTTACATTGCTAGGGATTTCGCTCGACTTTTCTATTAACTTCATTTTATGTTTCACCAGCAAAAGAGAGGATAACTACAACCCAAAGAAGAAGAAAAACTCAAATCCAGTATCTGAATTTTTAATAAGAAATTTTGTTTCTATAGTTCATTTTTTAAGTCGTTTCTTTGGGTAGAAATCATTCTTCTACAACATGTAAGTCGTTAAAACCAAAAATATAACATTAAGAGACTACAATGAGAACAAAACCTTGGAAATACTCGAACTTTCAATGTATCATAAGGGAAAGAACCAAAAAAAAAAAAATCTACTACTACATCAAAACTTGATTTACTATTTAACTCTCGTCATGTGAACAAAATTATACATCCATGACAGGTTAAGTCATCGAAGATCTTATTAAGATTAATTTAGCTCTTTTCACAATTATCACAAGGATTTGAACTGCTTTTACAGATCCTTGGCTCGAATGACTCTCCAAAGTACTCTAGTAACATCTGTCTTCTGCATTCTGTCTGAAACATTTATAAATTACGACTTATTAAAGTAAAATCTTCAAAATATATACAAAGGGTTAACTAACACAGCGTTCTTTTTCAATTTTGAGAACGATATTACCTTGAGTTCACAGTATTGCTGCATCTTCTTGGCCTGAGCCATGGCTGATTTGAATCTATCCATGTTTCTACCTTGTCCGTTGCGCAGCATGCAGACGACTCTGCTAAAATCTTTCTTCTGGTACAAGCAAATGCACTGCGCTTGAAGCCCGTCCCTTCCTGCTCTCCCTGACTCTTGGTAGTAGCTTTCTATCGCTTTCGACAAGGTGTTGTGTATAACGAAGCGCTGCACCAAAAACGAGGAATAAAACAGAGGAAAATGGCAGAAAATTGGTAGCAAAAAGGCGGCAACAACTATGAACAGGCTTGACTTACCACATCTGCTTTGTCTATCCCCATCCCAAATGCAATGGTTGCACAAACAATCCGAACTTCCCCGGTTTGCCATTTCCTCTGAACATCAACTCTCTGCTTGGCGGGCATACCAGCGTGGTAATAAACGGTTTTCACCTTGCATTTCTCGTTCAGAAACTTTGCAACATCGACACATTCGCTTTTGGAGAGACAGTAAACGATCCCAGACTGATCCTTGAACCGATCTCTTAGCAGCTCTTGCAGCTGTTTCAGTGGCTCCTTGGTCTTGTTGATCACCTCGTACTTCAAATTGGTTCTGTCAAAGCTCATCTTTAGAACCTGAGCCCTGGGAATTCTCAGACTTTTTAGTACGTCCTGTCAGAATCAAAATGGCGATAAAGCGGTGTTCAGATCATGAGGAATCACAAAATATGTTAAAGTAAGATTGTTTTCTGAAGCTAAATTGAGAATCAGAGCAATGGGAATCCTCAGAGCTCTTAAACCTGTTCCCAAGTTCAAGAGGATCTTATCATGTTGATACTTATCACCTGACAGACTGATTCAGTTGCCGTTGCTGTAAGAGCCATCACAGGAACTTGGGGAAAGTTCTGCTTAAGACATCCAAGTTCTCTGTAGTCTGGCCGGAAGTCATGTCCCCATTGGCTGGAAAAAAAAAGGTAAAAACACTAGCTTTAGTCAGTACCAAAAAAATGACTATGACCATGACAAGCCAGCACTTAAAAGGGAGTTTTGATAGTCAGATACTGGATGCAGACACCCCAAAACTGAACAGTCAGTTTTTCTGCTGCAGAACGCTAAGTACAGAAGCCGAAAGTTTTAACTTTTTGATCAGCTTGTTGACCTATTCTAATAAAATGAAGCTACTGACACCCACTAGATTCCAACATGCTCAACCAGAATGTTATAACATGTTTACCAGATAAGTATTTTGAAGATATAATTGAACTTCGAGGAAATTTTCCTAAGGTCGGAGCCAAAAAACTAGTTTTGATGTTAAGTTGGTGATGGTGAATAATCAGAGAACATTAATGTAGATCACAAAGTTATAATGTGTAAGAGAAGGGCATAAAGTTACTGTACCTCACGCAGTGAGCCTCATCAACCACAAAACCCGCGAGCAGGCCCTGTTAATAGAGAGGATGTTTAGTCGTTTTCTTAGATCTGGAAACTTTTTGATATCAATTCTGCAATAGCAATAATAAAAACTCAACAAGCTACCTTGCGGTCTAAGCATCTTAGTGTCTCCAAAAAGGAAGAACTCCCAGCGATTTTCTCAGGTGTCACGTATAAGAGTTTACATGACGGTTTGTCTCTTCTGCAAGCAAAATGTCAGTGCACATATAAGCTTATTAAAACAATATAGATGGTTATATCTCCATTAGATTAAATTGATGAATAAATAATGCCTGTCAGAGATACTTGGATATTGTGAAAATGAAAGAAACGGAGAGATGATATTCACCTGAGCTCTTGTAATACAACTGCTGCTTGGGAAGATGTTTGCTGAGAGTTCAAAAAAGTCGCTGGTACTCCGAGCTTAAGGTTCAGTGCAACTATCTGATCCTGGATGAGGGATAACAGAGGAGATATAACTATGGTAACTCCAGCTTTTAGTGTTGCAGGAAGCTGTAAAACAAATAAAAAAGACGAGAAATTTACTATGGATCCTGTGGAAATATAAGCTAATGGTTATTGGACTAACTACTCCTAAACGAATCCAAGCCTTCAGGAGCCTAGATGTAGAGGTAAGGGATCGTGACCTGGTAACATAAACTTTTTCCCCCTCCCGTTGGCATTAGGACAAAGCAATCCTTCTTTTCCATATATGCTCTACATGCTTGATGCTGCAGGGGCCGAAACGCCTTGTTCCCAAAAATCACCAAGTTTGCAAATTCCAGATCATCCAACGACTGCAACTCTTCGTAACTTGGAATTTCATGGTCCTTTTCTGATATCTCTGCCGAAGGTTTTCTGCCTGAAACTGTTGAAACTGAATCTTCCATGGAATATTCCTTCAAAGTAGAGCAATTCATAAGTTTCATTTTAAAAAAGAAGGTAGTTCAAGATATATGAGAGATAGCGAACCCAGAAACTGTCGAAGGACAGCCAAAATAGAAATCTTTGAATTTAATCATAGGCACCCAACCCAAATGAATGAAAAAGCAGAGTCTTTGTGATAAAAGCTGTTCTTTCGCAGCCCATTAAACCCCACACTTCTCACCATATGTTTTGTTTATCCACAAAATAAAATTGGTTTATGAGGACCAACAAGATTCAATGAGATCAAAGCAAACTTACAAAAGTATTGACCTCAGATATACAGATTTATTTCAGTTTCAGCTTGCATTCACAACCAAAGACAATATGTTAAATGAGTCCACCATGAAATTTTCTTTTTTCACACGGGTACAGGGTGCTTGGAAACATAGAGACATCTATCAGTGGACTGCAAGTGAATGAGGGAGTCTTTGCCAAACGGGCAAACAAAAAAAAACTTGTTTTCTCTTTCTTCCAAAAAACCATGAAACCAGTAACTGCAATGTTAAGAATCTTACCATAGATCTCAAAGAGTGATTTCTGGAGCCTGTCTGCGATCTCCTTGGAAGTTCCAAATCATTATCCAGCTCCATATCTTGCGGGTTTTTCTTTGGCTCATGAGAACCTTCAGTGACATGAACATCGACTCTTGAATCATCATCATCATCACCACCATCAGTCTCGAATCCGTTATCACTAGGGTTAGCTTTGTAAAACATTTCAGCCAACGTTCCTTGAGCTTCAGACTCTAGAGCCTGTATGTCATCCCATTCCTCGGATCCGTTCTCGAAATCAGCTAACGCCGCAAGAAAATCATCTCCACATAATTCAACAGTGATGAAATCCCGACCATCATCACCTTTCGGCAATTAAAAATCAGATTCAGATGCAGAAGATAACCCCAGTCGGAAAAACCGTACTAGTGCCAAATATTGAAATCTGGATTCGAATTTGGTACCGTAAAGAGCGACGAATCGATCCAAGCATTTCTTCGAAGAATCTTTATCGAATCCGAGTTTGGTAGCTAGGCTCAGCAATCGAGCTTTCTCCAATTCGAGATCCTGACCCTTCATCTTCAAATACGGGTTTTCAACTCCGGCAACAGAAGCAGTGATATTTCCCCGGCGGCAATTAGAAGAATTACAGTAAATAAAATCTGCTAAAATTTTAGAGACTTCCGGGCAATAAACCTCAGGCTAGGTTTTCCCGCCATTTTCGCAACGTTGCCGTTTTATTTTCCAATTGCTGGGCTTTCAGGCCCAACTCTTTTTTTTTCCAAACATAGTTTAAGATCTTCCAGACCGGAATTATCGACCTCCCTCCGGTTCAATCATAGGCCGGTTAAATTGATTGGTGAGAACAAGAAGCCTTTAATCTCTCTATCTGTGGATCGAAGTCAAACTTATTACTTCGGTCTCAGTCCTGAACATTTTCTACTTTTTTGTGGAAGTGAAATTAGGATTTGTTTGATTCGGGGATTTAACAAATAGTTTCTTCATTTTTTCTCTTTTGTAGAAACTGCAAGCTGTTTTCCTTACAAATAAAGGTGAGGGCTTTACATGTAATACAAAAAAGTCTAGATGAATGACTATTTAGATATTATGGTAAAGATATTTTAAGCAGGACTAACGAGTATGGCTTGGCTGTATGGGTTGCAAAAGGTCAAACAAAAATTTTCAAAAAAAGCCAGGTCCCAATCTTATATTTATATTGGCGGCAAACATTTAAATTCAACTGTATAATCAACCAGTACTTTAGTTTTCCTACGGATATTTCCCTAAATGGCTAAATCTACAGAGATCATTTTGGTCCCTTTAATAGCTATATAGCTCGGGCCATGTCCAAATTGGCCACTTGATGCTTAGGGAAGGTCTCATTAAAGTCAAATCTTTCTCCCCTTTTGTTTGTCTATTAAAAAGTAGACTCTTTTGTTAAAAAATTATAGTTTTATAATAATATCTGGAAAACAAATACAAAAAGTAGTGCATGAATATACAAATATTTTAAATTTTCATTTGTTTATTTCCGTTAGGCTGAAACTTACATATATACTGCTTGGGAAAGAAGTAATTATCGAAACTAGTGTAGAAAAGCAATCACAATGCATGGCAGTAGTTTGCTAGATTGGAAATATCTTTGGATAGGAATGGTTGCCTCAATCATTCTTAAATGAACCTTACTTACTTCATTTTTGTATGACATTTTATAGTTTTAATCATGATTTTATTTAGTAAACGACGACGTATAAAATCCATTGTGCAGACTAAGAAGTTTATCATCACCAATAATGTCGTAGTGTCTTTTTTTTTAATGTCGTAGTGTCGATCGGCGTATATTCTATTCAAGATAATAAAACTCAAATAAATATGTTTATTTATCAATGCGACAGTCAAGCTAGCATGTAATCGTCATGTGTTCGTGGATAGACCACTCGTTAAACAAAACTGGATATTTCGCACTTTTTCACATGTGTTAAATAAATTATGCAATAACTAATTTTACTTGTTTCGTTTATTTTAATAGATAATTTAGAGAATCGTGACCGAAAAAGGAAGATAAATTATAAAATATCATACCAATTTTTGTAATTCAAAATTCAAAATATATCTTTGGGAAACAATATTTTCCCCTTAAAAATTCTAATGTTAAAAAAATGAAATCAAAGAATTACTAAATAAATAACATGTTTACAACAAGCACTTATAGGAAATAATCAAACCTACATATATATATATATATAAATTAGAGATTACGTAATTAAAAGATAAAACAAATTTATTATTATTAAAACGAAATAACCTCAACATGAACTTACAATAGACGTAGAGGGAAGCAGTCATTAGCTTCGTCCTACGTACTATTTTATTAAAAAGTAAACAACTCAGACAGAAACTTAAATCGAATAAACCACGCACATTCTTAATTTTTAATTCGATACGAGTTTATTCGTAAACTTTGATAGTTTAATAATGACCATAGCAGTGGCAATGCTCTTCATGGTCATTTGTCAAATGCACTCCATGGTCATGATCCTCACACTCTCCTCTACATGACTCGTGGTAATGCTCCGCGCATTGAGCTTCACAAACGCTCTCTTTACATGGGTACGGCACTATGGCTTCGCCTAAAAACTTCGTACATGACGCCTCGCTCTTGGGGATTTCTAAATACATATCGAACATTCATTCTGATTACTATATTGTATATTGAAAGACGCATGTTTCTTGATTCATATATGTATAAACTTATGCATTTATATGAACTTTTTTAAAAAGAGTACTAGAAGTGAGATTACCGGCCGATATGAACAAGACAACGAGCAGAAGAGAGGTGAAGAAGATGGAATTGAGGGTCTTTGCCATTTTTATAGCTTTTACACTTATTTGGCTAATTAATAGTTTCTTTCTGTTTTCAGAAACTCAGGTGATACTAATCTATTTATAGTAAAATATCGTTGACTTTAAAACTAGTTAATTGATAGATGGCCTTTAAAAGGACCAGCTCTTACAGTCTATAATTTCCTATCAAACATTTTTTTTAATTGAATTGAACGTATTTGTCTTTTTTTTTTGGGATCAAAAACGTATCTTTCTATTTGTATTACGATTTTCTTACAAAAAGCGAGATAGCTAGGTAGCATAATGCTATAATGTACGTGGAAAAAAAGAAAAGAGCAAATATTAGAGGTGATTCTACAAAAGCAGAGAAGGAGAAGACCACAAACAAAACACAAAAAACAAAACACAAAACAACATCATCGTTTAATCTAAATCGTTTACATACAAAGTAAATTACGTAGACAAAACACACAAAAAAAGCAATTGTATTATTAAAAGGAAACAGCATACAACATGATCTTTTTAGGTTTTATAGAGTTAGGAGGGAAGCACTCATTAGATTTGCCCCATTATTTTACTTTAAAGTATATCTTAACACTGTTACACACACATACCATTAGTTCGAACATACCACACTTACATTACGCTATAGAGATATATGATCTTATTCTTTTGTTACTCGATACGAGTTTACTTGTAAATTTCAGTATTTCCCGTAGCAGTGGCAATGCTCTTCGTAGTCATGCTTCTCACACTCTCCTTTACACGAGTCGTAGTAATGTTCCGAACATACGGCTTCACAAGCTTTTTCTTTACATGGGTAAACTGGGGCTTCGCCTAAAAACTTCTTACATGTCGCCTCGCTCTTCGGTATTTCTGTACATGTCCAACATCAATTCAGATGTATATATATATATATATACATACATTATATTTGATTATGTTGAGATTAAATAAGAAAATATATAATCAAAGAACGATGTTACTTGGTTTATCTATGTATAACTTTTTGCATGCATGTATGAAATTTTTGGAAAAGACTAAAATCGAAATTACCGGTGGAAATTAACAAGACGACGACCAAAAGAGTGGTGAAGCAGATGGAATTGAGAGTCTTTGCCATTGCTGTACCTCTTGCTTTCTTTTTTTCTTACACTTAGTTAATTGATTCTTTCCGTTTTCAGAAACTTGGGTAATACTAATCAATGGGGATAGTGATCTATTTATAATCAGGTTTTGTTGACTTATCAAATAGTTTAATCATATATACTAGATTTGCGACGTCGCCGTTGTATTCTCACACATAGATAGCCTTTGGTTAGGCACAACTCTTAAATTCCATAATTTCATTTTAAAGCCATGCATGCATTTGATAATTCCTCTATCTACCAATTATTCTGTCAATTTGTGTCGTTCTTTTTTTTTTTTCTTCTAACACATACTATTATATTATAAAAATACCCTTTTTGTTTTGAAAAGTTCCTAAACTCTTGTAAAAGTATCTGAACGTTCGTATAAACTGGTTCTACTTCCTTAGCTTTGGAATTATCTTTCATTAAAAAAGAGTTGTGGTGTTTTGGAACGCATTTGAAAAAAGTTGTGGTAACAAATAGTAATTAGACATATAAAAACAACGTTATTTATTGGATTTGGAAGGTAAATTGAATATAATGTCATCAAAATACAAAATGATCACGATTAACAGAATAAAATAAAATAAATTGAATTAAATACATACATGAGTTTGTTAGTCTTTTTATGTCAAACTACTACACAAATAATAGACCGTATAGAAAGCTATATTCCATGAATAATCTTCGAGCATTGGACCTTAATCCATTTGTAACTCTTCCTCAAAGATGTCTTCATTTTTCCTTCGGCTGAATATAGCTTGTATTTCGCCACTCGTCTCTTTCTCTTTATCTCAGGATCGTTCCACCATCCTCCGATTATTACATTTATAAACAAACATATCCACAATGTTAGAAACATTATAAACGCCATTTCATTATTTGTGAAAAACAAGGTTTGATCAAATCATACAGCAATGATTATTTTAATCGCAAATTGTGTGTTTATTGTTACACCACCGGAATCATTGTTAATAAATTTTGCAATCAAATGCAAATACAAAATTTAGTTGCAGCCTATAGATCCATATGATGGTTTTTTTTTCGTAAATGTTACCTTTTAATGATGTTGAATGAGAAGATCTTCTGGGTCTAACAGGCAAGTCCCTGTAAGAAATCTTGCGCCATAGATCCGATGTCATCGGAGATCGATTACGCTTTGATTCTCTAACAACATAAATTCCTCTGACTTGTTTTAAATCAGTAGGATTAACCAGTTGGAGGTTCCGATCTCCTTCGTACGATTTGTAAGATCGTACTTTAGGAGATTGGAACTCCTCCATCTCGGTTTTACCTCTTTTTTTCTTTTTCTTCTTCTATTTTTTAAAATGTTGTTATATTCTGGTATGATAGAATTCTATAGTATTTGGTTTTAAAATTTGAACCGTGTATTTCGGGAGAGGCACAATATGTGGTGGAAAAGAAAAAGAAATTGTTATAACAAAATGATCCAAAATAGAAAAAAAAAACTTTTTAGCGAACAATAAAGGTCAATACAAAATATCACACATAGTCTTGACCTTAAATAGATATGGTCTTTCTTTTTCTTTCCTAGCTCTCATTGATTTTTTTTTTTTGTTTTCTGAGGTTAAGGTTCAACAAAACGGTTCCATTTTATTAATAGAGTAAAGGTCCGAACCAATTGCACTGATGATTCAGTCTCGTAGATAACCGCGAGTGCTGATTCTGCTGAATCGGATTTATATGCTGAAAAAAAAGGAATGCTCGTAAAGATTAATATAAAGACACATTGTGTTTTTCATTCGTTTAACTCTAAAACCAACACAAACATAAAGTTCAAAAAAAAAAAAATTAAAACAAACACAGTTCATGTTTATTGAATGGAGGCTATCAAGTCTCCCATATATATGTATTCTCTCACTCTTTGTCCCTCAAGTAATTTCCACATATTCACCTCGTACCATCTCCTCTTACTGGCCATTTCCATTTGAAACTCAAAATTCAGCCGAAAAAAGCATCTAGACACGTTAAAGATGCCGCTTGTACTTGAAAAGTTATTTAGAATATTCAGTTTGCTCTTCGTAAACTTGAAGTTTCATACCCTTTTTCACAGAAGTCAGAATGATATTTGTTTGCTATATATACCTAGCCTTGTCAAACCTCCTAGTTTACACATACATTTACGAATGGTATTGAGTTTGATTTCTTATGTGTATGTAGCTGTGTAATCAAGATCCACAAGACTCAGGATTTAAGCTTCTAAAGAGTCATGGAAGTACATGACTGCCATAGTTTAGACGAAGTTTCAAATGCGTATGTAATTATGTATATATGTATACACCTTTAAGGCTCTAATTAGTTCTAAAAGTTATTTTTGCGATGCATGAAATCCGTATTCATTTACATAGTTTTTAAGATATACACAGTTGAATAGTATGGATAAATATGTGAACCCTAATTCCTAAAATTGATTTATTGTAAACTGTAACAAGTATGAGAGGAGATACATTTCAATTTATTTTTTTACTCTCGCTTTCATAAAACTAGAGTGTTCGTTTTGTTTTTGTCCTATAGTATTGACCCAATCGTTAGATTCATCATTTACAATTTGAAAATATTTTTATACGTGAAATATTTTAAACAAGCAAAGCTTTAGTTAACACCGTGCCACTTGGCTCCTTGCATAAACAAATTCAAATCTGAACTAATTTAGAAGTACAATTACCCAATAATTAATTAGATATCCATGTTGTAACCCAATACTTAGAGGGGTGTTATTAGAGAGTTGATTTATAAAGATTTTTAAAGTTTAAGATTCTATAGTTATTGGTTTGTGGATTTTTACATTCTTAATAGATTTCTCTGTTATTCATTTAGAGATTATAAAAATCAGTTGTTATTGATATGATGATTTTTATAATCTAATCAAAATCCATTGTTATTCAAAAAGTTTAATAGATAATTCTGTTATAATCTAGTGTTATTGGCATAATGATTCTTTATAATTTAATTCATAAATCATGATTCTCAAAATACTACATATATCCCTTGGATTCTCAAAATCTGTCATATTAAAAAATTCTTAACAGATTATTTAAATCCATAAAACTCTCTCTAAATTTCACAAATCCAACAAAACTCTTAAAAATTTGATAAATTTATGATTTTTAAAATCAACTAAAATCTTCATAAATCTAACTCCCAATAACCCCTTTTCATATGTTAATATCTGAACCGGCGGACTTTAGGCGGGAACGAATTATCTTGGTTCTCCTCAAGTTGTCTTACGATTTCGAATTTGTACCCGTAATGTTTTAAAAATTTGTTTTGACCCCAAAAGTTAGAAGTTGTTTTATAGCGTATATCGTGGGCCTCTCTCGTTGATTTCCTGGAGAATTTGATTTTTGTCGCACAAAACCGTCGAAATCAGGTGGCGAAGCGAGGCCGAAGATGAAGGGAGGAACAACGAGCTGGATGATGTCAGTACGGAGGAGCGGGTACAAGGCGGTGGTTGACGGAGTTGGGGGACGGCGGCGAAGAGAGGACGACATGGTTGAGATCCGCAAAGCCAAGCGAGAGGAGAGCTTGCTTAAGAAGCGGCGCGAGGCTCTTCCACATTCTCCCTCCGGTGTTTCTCTTGACCAGAAGGTCGGTTGGTATATTTCAACCTTTGTTATGAAATCTGGAGATTGATAAGTTTTGGCAGTTGAATTTCTCTTAGCAATATGGCCATATTGTTTTTAATGACTGGTGATTCATAGATGCATGCTTAGGGTTTGTGGAATGATCTATTCAATTCCGATCGATTTTGGTATCTTTAAATTTCGTAATTCGAATTTGGTGTTCGTAATGTCGGACGATGGGCGTTCCGACTTCTTGAAATGCTGCGTTGCGGAATTTTACTTTGATGTTTGAATTCTCCAGTTTTCATTGCTATATAATGTGGATTTCATGATAAATTTCAAAATTCAGTCCTGACATTTTGAATTTCTCGGAGTCGTTTCATGGTTGATTTTGGTGTATGAAGAATTTGCATGTCCTGAAATATGATTATATAGTGCTAGAATCACCAGAATGAGCTATAGCTTTTGTAGGTGGGACCTGAATTCTGTAGGATCTTCCTTGCTATTAAAATCTGTCTATGCTTGAAATTCCCAGTATGATCAGCCATTCTAGACTTGCCATATTTAGTTTGATCTGGAGTTTTCTTTTGCATATTCTGGAATATAATAGTTGTATTTGAATTTCTCCAGATGGGAATATACATTTTGTATAGATTATCAATTTCTTCTTTTTGAGTAGTTTGTATGTTTGATTCGTTACAGTTGATAAGCCGTATTTGGTCTGACAAGAGGGATCTGTTGATTGAGGCTACTACTCAGATCAGAACGCTACTTTGTGGTGGTGAGAGACATCCCATTAACTTGTTTACAAACAGTTTTCGGTTGCTAAAAACATAAACAAGCTTTTGGAGCCATTCTTGTTTATGTCGAATGTTGAGATAGTTACATGCCCTTTAGCAACGTTATTGCCATTTCTAATGTCAGACTGCAATGAAGACACAGAAGTTATGATAATGTCCGTGCTGTAATGTCTTGCTATCGCTACATGAGGCTATAGCAATGTATTTTACTATGAAGTAAACTTGTAGCAATTTTCTTTTGGCGCTCTCTAATGATATACATGTTCTTTTTGGCAGAAATGTTTAATGTACGTGTTGAAGAAGTTATACAAGCTGGTTTGGTTCCACGCTTTGTGGAGTTCCTTACGTGGGATGACTTTCCCCAGCTTCAGGTTAGCTTCCATACACATGTACGTTCAATCTGGTTTATCACTAGCTTCACAAGCTCGATGTTTTTTCGTTTCACGGGACAATTAATATAGTTTGAAGCGGCTTGGGCTTTAACAAATATTGCATCTGGAACATCTGAGAACACGGAAGTGGTGATTGATCATGGAGCTGTTGCAATACTAGTAAGACTTCTCAGCTCGCCATATGACGGGGTCCGTGAGCAGGTATACTATATGGTGATAGATCATCACAGAATAATGCTATGTGGTTCTCAAATGGTTAGCAATTGATGAAAGATGAAAAAAAATGACAAAGATCAATAGATTAAATATACTACATAGGATACAACTTTAGACTAAATATAGAGGTAGTTTTAATATGTTTTGTTGAGTTTGTTGTTCCTCTCACATTCTTCAGTTGCAACTAAGCTGTATTCGTGGACAATCAGGTTGTCTGGGCATTAGGAAATATTTCTGGAGACTCTCCTAGATGCCGTGATATAGTCCTTGGACATGGAGCTCTACCTTCTCTGCTGTTGCAGTTAAACCATGGAGCCAAACTTTCTATGCTTGTAAACGCCGCTTGGACTTTATCTAATCTTTGCAGAGGAAAGCCTGAGCCTCCATTTGATCAGGTAAATTTTGAGCCATACTGATGATGTTTATTATAGACAATTTCTAGTACTCCCAATATTGTGGACCAGCATATTTGAGAGCTGGTAATCAGCTTAACTTTTTTTTATCCACACTACCGTAATGATCCTGCTAATATTGTCTGTGTGTTTTAAGTAAATTTTTTTCTGATTGGATTTAATGAATGTCGTGTTATTTCACACATATAACTTATTACCATAATGCCCACAGGTGAGTGCTGCATTACCAGCTCTTGCACATCTCATTAGGTTAGATGACAAGGAACTCTTGGCTTACACGTGCTGGGCGCTGGTGTATCTCTCTGACGGTTCAAATGAAAAAATACAAACCGTGATTGAAGCCAATGTGTGTGCGCGACTTATTGGTCTTTCAGTGTAAGTGTTCCATATTTTCGCTAACCAAGACAATTCAGAGTCATAGATTCTGATGGCTTTTTGCTCTCTGAACAGCCACCGTTTGCCTTCAGTTGTCACTCCCGCTCTTCGCGCCATTGGCAATATTGTAACTGGAAATGATAGTCAAACTCAGGTAAACATGCAGCTACACAGAGAAAATTTGTATTAGAACTGCTCTTTTATTTTATCCCTGTTCTTTTTCCTTTTTTTTTTGCTGAGTATTCTACAGTTACTGGCTTTTTTCTATTTGGTTTTGAATCATATAAGTTGTTCTCAGAACTTTTATCTCTGCGATTTTCAGCATATAATTGATCTTCAAGCGCTCCCATGCTTGTTAAATCTTCTTAAGGGACCCTATAACAAGACCATCAGGAAGGAAGCATGTTGGGCAGTCTCCAATATCACAGCTGGCTGTCAATCACAGATTCAGGTTAGTCGAAATATAAAATCTGAATTTCTCTTTTTAACTGCTTCTAATCAACATGTTGCTCTCAATGTACGTCTGCACTTGTTTATCTCCTTTGGTAGGCTGTATTTGATGCTGATATCTGTCCTGCACTTTTTAATCTGCTACAAAACTCTGAGCTCGATGTCAAGAATGAAGCTGCTTGGGCTATCTGCAACGCTATAGCTGGAGGCTCTTACAGGCAAATCCTGTACGTAGAATAAAAAAATACATTTTATCACTATATTTTTTTTTTCATTAGATGTTCAACTGTCCATTCGGGAAGAAATCTTATTACAAACCTGAGAATTATATAGACAAAAAGGGATATTCAGTAGTCTGAATATAGAGGCATGAAAAGAGTTCGTACAGCAGAACCAAATCTTATGTTCTCATTCCATTGAGTCTATTACAACTTTTCTTGGTAGAGTTTTCAGCATGTTATGTATGTATTTCTGAATTGTGTGTGGGTCAGTTTCTTTCCAAACCTCACACATGATCTGCGAATCTGCCAGGTTTCTCGTAAATCAAGACTGCATAAAACCTTTGTGCCATCTTCTTACATCCTCAGAAACTCAACTCGTCATGCTTTGTTTAGAAGCACTTGATAAGATACTGAAGGTGGGAGAAGTTTGCAACACAAGACACGCGGAAGGAATTTACCAATGCCCTCAAACACATGTAAATCCCCATGCTCAGATGATAGAAGAGGCCGAGGGACTGGAGAAAATCGAAAGCCTGCAATCTCATGAGAATAATGACATCTACGAAATGGCGGTAAAGATTCTAGAAACATACTGGGTTGAAGAAGGAGAAGAAGAAGTAGAAGAGGAAGATCTACGAAAACAAGACATGATATATTTCCCACTTGACAACTTTGCAAACATGCCAACACCCGCAGGTACTCTCGGTGAGATGTACTGTGGACCCTAAGAGGTACAAATACTCTATTTTTCGGTAACCTTTTTATTAGTTTTTTGCCTTTTTGGCTTACACATGAGAGGGTAGGTAGAACACAGTATATTGCCGATTCAGGGGTGGTATTTTGGTTTACAACAAAGTCTGGTTTGGTTTAGTCTAGTTTGAGAGAAACTGATCAAACTCAAACCAAACAACTTTGATTTGATTTAGTTTAGTTTTAGTCCAGTTAGGTTTTATGCCAAAACTCCCCTTACCCCATCCCTACTTACGCCTGAGTTTGAATATGACGGTGTTGTCACCGTTGGTTAGTCGAGAATCCGAGATTATTTCAAATCTAGTCGGTAACTGTGCACCTCACGAGTCAGGTCGAGATCCAGCTTTGAGCTTGTACCGCGTCAGTGTCAGTCTCGTATAAAAGCTAAATCATGTTGTTTGGTATTTTTCTGATGAATCAGGACAAGCGGCTTGGCAATCATACACTCAGCTCATCTGTGCAGTACACTAATTGAAAATCGTGGTTAGAGATTACATTGCTTTGAATAGTAATGAGAATATTGGTCTTTCGTAGTTTGTATTCTAGAACAAACCGTACAGTTCTATATGACGTCATTTCTCCATAGATTCTCAAACACCCATAGTTTAATATCTTCTTTACATGTAAAGAGACCATTATAACTCGTCAAAATCCAAGTTACAAACACTCAATACAATAGTGACACTGTCTAATGTGAAACCCCGGGAGAGAACTATGTTTTGATAATACAGTGAGATAAGAATGTAAAATATAAAGGGAAAAAACAAAAATCGCTGCAGCAAAGCGAAGGAGCAAGAGAGAAAACACAGATCGACTTTATCTTCAGACCATTTGGTGGATACAGAACACTCGGCGACGCAAAAATGTGATGTTCCCATTATAAAAGAATTAAAGAATGAGGGATCATCCTTTCTCTTGGGTCACAAGAAAATCTCCTTGAGGATTAAGAGTACTAGCATGATGAAGCAGAGGATGACAAGAACAGACGCACACATAACCATACCTCCATTTCTCTGTGTACGTTCTGCCTGTGTAAATTCACAAGCGATTCCACTTAAACATTCATGTCATGAAGTGTTGAGAGAGAGATGGTATATACTCTGGTCATTTTAAAAAAGGTTTACCTTTTGCAGCTGTTTGAGACCATCTTCAACTGTACTAGCAACGTTCTGGATATTATAGTCAATCCGATCAACTATCGTACCCTGTCACAACAAGTTTTGCTTTCGAATTATATTTCTCGAGTCAGTGACTCAGACGCTAGACAGTTATAGTGTTATTATACCTGGTCTATCACAAGCGCGGAAAGATCCTTCATGATCTGAGCAAGCTCGTTGACGGAATCAACAACCTATAGATGACACAGAACAAGAAGAAAGTTACAAGGTTATGATTGTATATGAAAAAAAGTAAACAATGAAGAGCATTAAGAGTTGCAAACACTAACCTGTTGTATCTCTTTCTCCCTCTCTACCGATATTTCCTCGCTTTTTTTTATCTTGCTCATCTGATGCTCACTAAATAACTGAAATAAAATGCATATATTTCATAATTACAGATCATATACATAATCGGTACTACGGGTTGTAGATTGCAATGATAGAGTCATACCATATCATCGAAGTCATCATCTTCTGCTCTAGATCTGCTTCCGTTCAGATTCATCTCTAAATCTGATCCGTCCTGATGTTACATCACAAAATCAAATCTTCTTAGATATAAGGCAAATGTAAGTGTTTCCCTAAAATTGTATAAAACTAACTAGAGAAACTATGAAATGAAGTGCAGCTTCAGAACAGAAAAATAAAGAGACTCCAAAACGGAGCGACTACATCATCACAAATAGCGAAGCCAAATGTACAGAGCTTCACTGCGTACCTCCTTTTGTAGTCTCAAACGTTTCAAATATGTAGACTGTTTCTTGCGGAGCTCCATAGAAAGGTGTTGGAGATCAGTAGCAAGAGATCGCTGTTACAAAAAGACACTCGTTTAGATTGTGAAGAAAAAGCAAAAGGGCACTCGTTTAAGAGACACATCGAGTGAAAATACCAACCTGCACGTTTTTCCTGACATTTGAATCTTCAGAAGGTCCAGCTGCAGAAAGCCTCTGAAGTTGCTTCTCAGATTTCCTCAGTAAGAAAGTTATCTCTTGCGTCAAGGACTCGATTTGATGTTGATCTTCTTTATCATCCCCAAACGAGGGCATCAGCGCTTTGGCATGAGCCTTTCCCAGTTCAGCCATTTTGGTCCTTGCACGCTGAATGTTCACTGAAATCTCCTCAGAGACATCAACCCAATCTGGTGGTAGTCCCACTGTGATTGTTCCTCTACTGTACATTGAAGAAAGAAGCAAAATTTCCAACTTTAACAAATAGGCCACAGATATGTATTCTCCTAATAATCAATAAGAGGCTGAAACAACACTATGGATTCTTTAGAGCGTTTAATTCCAAATCAATAAGAAACATTGTTGATCAGGATGATACCGATGTTCTGCTTAATCAACAACTTAGTTCAAAATTCGTATAAGCTAACTCACACTAGCAGCTACGTGAAGTGACGAATTTCTTATGGAATCACCAAGCTCTAACATTTCAATGGCGGAGAGGGAGAGAGAGAGGAAGAGAAGTACCTCGAATTCCCTGGATCTTCGGTACTGACTGGAGCATAGGAGCGATTCGGATGCAAAAGAGATGTGCTCGCCATCTCGATCACCGGACCTACGCCGGATTTCGCAGCTCCCGGCAACGAAATCTTATCCGTCATTGGAGCACGGACGCTCCTCAGAGTGTTTCTATACTTCCTGAACAACGGCGTTCGATTCCTCGTCGCCATATCAGCCAGATCTTAAACACTAGAAGAATCTCAGTAACCAAGATCTAGGTATTCTCGCTTCCCCTCCGATCGGAAGCTATAGATCTGAACAGGATCGCGGTTTCATCACAGACAAGCAACGAAACAGCGCGAATTGCCCCCGCGAGATGCCTCTTAATCTGTTCGAGTGCTCGGAGGATCGGCCGATCGCCGGCGGGATTAAAACTTCTCCGACGGAAATGTGAGCTCCCAGGCGTACATACAAATCGGAAAGTTAAAGCTTTGTTTAATGAAAAATTAGCTAAAAGCAAATCGTAAATTAAGACTAATAAAGAGTTGAAGAAGTCACAAGCGAGAAATGTTGTGCTTGTCTTTGTGTGCTATCAGTGACTGCGACATTTTAGCAATGAAGCCAATGAAAGTTGGTCACGTGAGGTTGGGATACAACAACAACCAAAAGACTAAAACTTCATTCTGCTGCCTTAAAATTATATGTATATAAGCTTAACGATCAACAAGTGACGTCAAACGATTAGCACTGAAACAAGAGACAAGTAGTTCATTCATTATACAGTAGCAGGAAGAACCTTCACCAAATCATATTGGGGGAGAGATGAGTAGTTTGATCATGTGTTTAGAGTCCCTCTACAATATCCCATCCATTAGCTATACGCTACTGAACACTGAGCAGAATGAGATAATTCAATTGTGGGTTTAATTTTGAAATACTGAATCTTAATGGGCCTCAATATTGCTAATTTTTCTAGGCAATACAAAGTTAGAAGAAACATTTGTAGATTTATATAAGTGGCCCCAACTTTTTTTTTTTCTATTTTTCCGCGAAGGATTCTATCATTTGAAAGTTAATTTTTAAAAATATATTAAAATAACTAAAGTAGGTAGTGAAATTAAAGAAATTATAGTATAGAGAGAACTTGTCTTCTGCGTCTCTCACTCTCTACCCAAAATAAATAAAACGAGGAGGAGAAAAAATAATTTAAAAAGACAAAAACTTTGCTAAAACCGACCCAGAATGTCTTTGTAATTTGTCTTACCATTTTCTTTGGATTGTTTGAGACGACAATCATCAGACTCCGAAGCCAGAAAGAATCGATTTTTCTTTCCTATATCGATTGTCAATTTCCACGATTTCTTCTATCTGTTGAGGAAAAAAAGTTATAAAAGATCGAATTTTTTCAGGCTTTTGATTGATTAGTTTGGTCAGTAATGGATTCCGATTCATGTAGTGATCGACTCGCTTCGGCTACGAGGAGATACCAGCTGGCTTTTCCGTCACGATCTGGTGAGTTTAAAGGATTTTTTTTTTTGTCTCCCCTCTGTTCTTGGCTATTATCTGTTTCGTTGGCTAAAAGTTGATGGCTAAAGGAAGTTAATTGATAGTATTTCAAATTATGAATACTTGATTTTGTTTGAAAAGTGAGTAAAATTTTACGGGAATTTTTCGATTTTGTTTGGAAGACTTCGTCATTTGTCTTCTTATATTTTTATGGCTTGAGGCTCTGTTTGATACCTGAGAAAGTGAAGGAAATGGGCTTCTCTATTTGACTGATTGATGAAGTAGGCTTTGATTTCGACACGAAATTTCAATCTTCTGTTGATTGTCGGCTTGATTTCTGATAAAATGGATGAAATGTATCCAAAATTGCATTCTTTATAGCATTTTAATCACTTGTGTGATGCGCGACGCTCAGTGTTTATGAACATGAGAAAATTCAGGTTTTGTTCTTAGAAGAGGGAAAATTTTCATGTACTGTAACATTGCATTGGAGTAAGGTTATAGCATTTCCGATTATTCGCCTTGTTTTATTATAGCGTCGTTGGATTGCTATGGGATGCAGATACGTTTTTAGGATTTGAAGAGATAGATGGAGAAGAAGATTTCAGGGAAGAGTTTGCTTGCCCTTTCTGCTCTGACTATTTTGATATCGTGTCTCTCTGCTGCCACATAGATGAAGATCATCCTATGGAAGCCAAAAATGGGGTAAATTTTTTCATTTTCTTTAAGAACAATTTATTGATCACATTCGAAGCAAAAAGAAATGTGTATTTGCGTCACATGAGAGTCTAGAGTGAGCGTTTTCTGTGTTTCTTGGAGGGTAACGCAGAAGCAGCTGCCAAGTGAAACTCTGTGAGTACAAATATGGAATATTAACATATCTTATACTGAGATGCATGACGGAATAATAGAATTAGCTGTTCGGTATAGTAGTTTAGCGTTTAGATATGGCTAGTGAAACATTGTTATTGCAGGTATGTCCAGTTTGTGCGATTAGGGTGGGTGTTGACATGGTTGCTCATATAACCCTTTTATTCAAGATATCCTTTTTCTTTCTGTCAGATAACAATTGATCGTCTCTAATATTATTTCTCTAACTCGCCATTCCATTGTGTTGTGATATGCCTTAACGAGATATTACATGCAGCGGAAAAGAAAATCAAGAAGAGGCGGGTCACATTCCACGTTATCGATCTTGAGGAGAGAGTTTCCTGATGGAAACTTTCAGAGCCTATTTGGTGGATCTTCGTGTAAACTATCTTCTTCGTCATCATCTAATGTAGCGGCTGACCCATTGTTAGCGTCGTTCATTTCACCAATCGCTGATGGGTTCTTCACTTCCGAATCTTGTATATCTCCAGAGACTGGTCCTGTGAAGAAAACATCAATTCAGAGTTTACCAGAAAGGTTTGCTTCCTCCTCTATCATTTTCTCTACCTAATAATGCTCCACTCTTGTTAGTTGAATCTGGCATTTTGTTGGTATTTCAAAACACTGATGATAAAAATCTTCTAAGAATCATTTCAAGTGTTTGCTCTCGAACTTCCGATTGGCTCATTGGGTCATCCTCTTTCTTCAATGAAATTTGTAATCTTTAAGATGAAACATTGTGTATCGTTGGCCTTACTTTTGGGAACTTGAGATTCCATGAACCAAATTTAAACACTTTGATCACTGATGAAGGTTTTGACGATGATAGGAATGCAGAAAAGGCGTCTCTTTCAGCTGAGGATCACAAGCAGAAGGTGAGACTGAGCGAGTTTGTTTGGGAGCTGTTGAGCTCTGCAATTCTTGATGACGGCTTATAATGGTGAAATATTGCTTGTGGTATCAACGAGGAAGCTCCATATTCTATCGCGGGGAAATTGTACGAATTTGTTGTTTATGGGGAACAAATAAAGGAGAAAAGCTTTGTCCGGAGAAAGAATCGGAAGACAGAAAGAGATTATGAGTGTTACTTATGAACTGTCTGTAGGTCATGAAACACCCAAAATGTATCTATTTCATTGTACTTTGTTAGTGGTGAAATTGATTGTAGGTTATATACTATAGGTGCTGTTAAGCTATAGTATGCTTTCATCTTGAAGTCGATCAGAGAATCTTGTTAAGCTACCTCACGTTATAGGTCAGCTTTTAAGCACCGCTTTGTAATCACAAAATCAAGACATTGCAACACAGTCTGAGAAAAACCCATTGAACCACGCTTTCAAAAGCCTCACGAGTCAAAATAGAAGTAATCAGAGATTACTCGAATCAAAACATTAAGACTGAAATTTGGTTAGGGGCTGCGCGAACGCAAACCCCCGCTGCCACAAATAATGACGTAGGCTCTTCCACTTGGGAAGACCTTAAGCTAAGCACCCTTCCGATTATGTGCAATGGAAGTCACTAGCCTAAGCCACTCGCCTTCTTGATCACGAGTCGACCCCGTCCAGGTAAGTGATTTGATCATTGCCACCACTCTTCCTTTTATACTCTCTTTTCCTAGCCTTCCTTGTTTCTTTTAACCGATGTGGGACATTTTTCTTTTAAGCTTCATTCTCTCCTCCGCCGTTTTTAACTTCTAGAAGACGCACCGCGTGCCGTTTCACTGCTCCCCTCGTTGAACGGCGTGTCGTACATGGCTAAAATAAAAACGCGAAACGGCAAGAGCTTTTGTTTATTGTGTAGATTCTCTACTGGGCCGGTCTCTTTGGTGGCCCAAATTTATCAAAATTTGTAGCCAACTTTAAGTTATGCAATGAGAAGTAATGCAGTGTTTTTGCTAATGTATAGCTTAAAGCGATGTTAAAACGTGAATAGTATATGTATGATATTAAGCCGATGATAAAAAGTAAATAGTGTTGACTAAAGTCATAGGCCATAGCTAACCTAGAGAGTTAAACGAGTTTGTAGATGTATATCTAAAGCAATAATCGACATTGTGTTGAAATTGATCAATTAATTAATTAGAATGTTATGTAGAGAACAACTTCAAATTGTGAGTTTAAGTGGAAAGGTAACCTATCGAGGAATTCACGGAGAGAACAGTGAAACTGTTCAAGCTTTATAACTAGCTTCGTTTCAAGGTATTAACAATTACAGACTACTTAATTAACCCTTCACTCATTTTTTTTTGAAAGGTACATTAGAAGATAATTACTGCCCCCGACGATGTGGATTGGATGTCCATTAAAATAATATAGGATGTAAAAGAAGCCTAATTGTAAAAGTTAGATAATTTAAAAAGGGATCAAAACGAAAAGTAATATATTTTCTTTTTTGTTGGCCAGCGATCAAAAAAAGTAAGAAAAAGAAATGACCTAAAAGAAAGGTTCTACAATTGGGTTCCTTTAACTACCGTAAAACACTAAAACGCATACACTAGACTTCCACTTGAATGTACTGTTCGTGCAGTCCAGTGGAATGCATATGCAGCTCTAATTCATATAATATTCTTGTTAATCCATGCATGTTAAAAAGTTGGATACATAGTCCGTTTCGTATACTATTAATCTTTTATTTTCTTTTGGAAAAAGGCAATATTTATTGAAAGTTTCGTATAGTTGGTGATTAGTCATTTCGTGAGTTTTTGGAAGTTTGTGGAAAAGTGGAGCCTTCGAGTGACTTACACAAAAAATCGCATAAGATAATACGCGACTAATTATTTTTGTTTTTTCAGAAGAAAAGCAGAATCCCTTTAAGCAAGCTAAGGAATTAGTATATGTTCCTGTTGTTAGATATTTATCTTATCAAAATTTAAATTTACCATTAATAATTACATCTTTCACAGTGAAAAAAAAAATGAAAATAAAGCTTTTGAAAAAATGATTCTTTTTCTTTTCAGTACCAGACGTAGCTAGAGAATACGAATCATAGTCTAGCTATATTAACCTTGAAGGCTTGAATTAATGAATAGAACTAATATATGACCTATGGAACAAATTATATGTGGAATTTATTTTTTGTAAGAAAAATGTTCTAAATTCGATATGAAACATAGAATCCGCTTCTTAAAAAACATCTTCAACACATGCACTATTTAACAACAAATATTCATAAACATGCACTACCATATATATATATATATTTAGAGTATGGGATATTATGCCGTACCATTACTTTCTATATGATTATAATACAATTGAGTGGAGTATTTGGTGTAGCGGTCAAATGTCATTATCGTACATTTCATAACAAAATATTTGTCACCTGTTTCTATCATCTTGGGGAACTATATGTAAACCCTGCGAAACCGGTTCATCTCACATCCGCCTAAAAAAGTGGCAATTTAATCCATCTTTTCTTGTTTTTTTTTTTAATCTCAATTGTGTATTATATGCCATTTTATGCCATATTAATCCATATTATATGCCATATATACTTGAACAGTTTTAATTTTTTTATGTATACTTTAACCGTTTCAATTTTCGTGATGTATACTTATATAGGTTCACCGCATAACAATTTCATTGTTGTTTTAACGTCCGAATTGTGATGTAATTGATCAAAAAAATTAATGTATCAATTTATCTGTCCAGAAAACAAATCAAAAAGCGCCTAATAAATTAGAGATGCATGAATTATTTGTCGATATATAAACATTAAATTGATATTTGAATATATATGATGGGAATTTTCAATGTAGTTTCTTAAAAATATGAAAATTTGTAGAAAGGATAATAATTACTGAGCTAGAAGTAAAATTGATTTGGAAAATGAGCTATGTATATATGTTCTTCTTTCGTCTACACTAAAATGTATACCACTAATTAGTGGTCGCGATATTCAAGATAAAAAAAATATATGTGGTTGAGATCTTTAAGATAAAGTAGTGATAAAATTAGACTAGAAATGAGCTTGATCTACGTAATGAATGTAGATATTTTTGTTAGAAGATAGAACAAGTTAACAAGTACAAAATACAATTGATTAATGTCTTGGCGAGGAGAGAAAGCTAGTACGTAGTGGGATCGATCGATATGCTTAAGCACTGCATATAAACAAAAGCAAACACTGAACCTCTAACCTATAACCACTAACTTTTGTTCCAATTTAATTAATTGCCGTTATATCATATTCAGTTGAACTATTTTCTTATATATATATATATATATATATATATTGTCGTTGCTTTTTCTTTATTCGCACTTACCGTTTACTTTTACATGCTAATTTTGTTTTTAGCATATTGCTTGAGGCACAACGTTATGTTTATTGTCCATAACTTGCATCATCCTAAGCTTATCATTATTAGACAGCTTCCACAATCAAAAATTAGTAAAACTCTATCATTCTAAGTTTTAGGATGCTAATCCATATATAATATACCAAATTATAGTCCAAAACCAAAAAAAAAAAAAAATTCTTACAAATATATACACGTGAATTTCTTCGGATTTATATAGATAGAGGAGAGCTTATATATACACGTGTACCGTCACGTTCACAAAATGACCTGAACTATTTAAAGAAACAAAACAAAAGAGGAAATAAAAAGACAATGTGTGAAAACACACATGAAAAACCTAGTTAAGAACAACATCTCAACAAGTGTCAATCTATTTATGTGATATGTGGTTGGTCTATTTACAGGATCATACAAGGTTAAGTTTTGTAGACTTATATATTATAAATGATAGGGAATGAGTCACGAGCTTATTATAATAGCAAATATCGGCATGTCATTGTTGAACTTGTCAGACTGTTAACTTTATTTATTAACATTTTTGAGTGGTGATCCTTTTTTATAACATATGACGACGTTATGGAGATTTAAAATTAAAAGCTTACAAGGACCACAATCATAATAAACGATGCAATTGACAACCCAAGCACTACTCTACCTAATGGAAAATTGAAAAAAAAGGAAAAAATTCGAAAAATGGTTTTAAGTGGGATCATTGTAGCTTTTGAAGAATGCACGTCAAGCCAACGCTACAGTTAAACAAGATCAATGTTTTTACTTAGTTTAATTTATGGTATGAAAAAAACAAAAAAAAAACAGTAGCATAAAAGTTGAAGGTGATTGGTGGATGAAGCTATAGTTGCCATCCACACTTGTAATTCACATATTGGCTTGACCCTCTCTCTCTCTTCTCTTTCTCTTCCTTCTAGTGTTGCGTGAATGAATCTCTGTTTCTTGATTTGGAACCGACATGGCTCCTAACAATTGGGCTTTTCTCTGCCTCTTCATAGGAATCTGAAGCTCTCTCTCTCTCCCTCACACTCTCTCACACTCTGTGTGTGTAAGTTTTCTTCAGTCTCTTCTCTTTTCTTTCCTTTTTTTCTTTTCTTTTAGATCACATAGGTTTTGGTGTGTTTGATTTTGACCAACATTTGGGATGGGGGGGTTTATTTATTTCTTACTCATCCTTTATTTTGGAGCTTGTTTGCTATTTGGGACTCTTGTCTAGTGTTTGGTTTGATAAAAGACTTCAGTTTCTGTGTCTTATCTTTTCCGTTTCTTACAATTTTTTCTTACTTTAGACAACAAGTCTGTCTCTTGATGATGATTCACATATGGGTTTTGTCATTCGTGTGGTTTTGCGTAATACCCAATCCCAAAGTTCCTACCTTTTTTTACAAAATTTCTCAACTGGGGTTTGAAATTCGACAAAGATTTCACATCAAAGTCTTATTACTTTGTTGACTTTTTTCTTTGTTTATCTTTCGCAGGAACACATCTTTCATCTCGGCAACATCGAATCGTGACTTCCCTTTTTTCCCTCTTCACTTCTTGTATTTGGAGATGGCTATGCAAACTGTGAGAGAAAGTCTTCTCTCTGCTCCGCAGATATCTTGGTGGAATGCTTTTGGATCTCAGCCGCTGGCGCCGGAGAGTCTTGCCGGCGATTCTGACTCGTTCGCTGGAGTTAAGATCGGATCTGCCCGAGAAACAGAGCACGGTGTGGATAAACAGAGCAACTCTGTATCTCGCTTAGCTTTCTCACTCGGTAACTCTTAACTTCCTTTGTCTTTCCCTATGAATGTCCTCAAATGGATGGTTATAGTGACATTTCTGAAATCTCCCTGTGGTGTTTTGTGAAAATTGGTAGAACAAGTTTTACTAGTTTACTTATAGCCGATATGCGTGAGAGTGAAACAGAACTTTGTTTGATTAAAAAAAAAGAGTCAAGCTGAGCTAAATTGTCTAAAAGGAATCTAAAATTCTAAAGACACTACAAATATGATTCAAAAGATGAAAATGGAAGACATTTTGTTTGCTTCAAATTCTGAATTATCAAATGTTTCCTATTCTAGATACCTGTGAATCTAAAATCGCAGTTTTGTTATGCTTTTAGGTGATGTAAAGAGTTCGAGTGTTGTGCCAAAGCCTCATGGAGCTGCTTTCTCAATGCAACCGCCTTGCTTGGAACTTGGATTTGCTCAGCCACCGGTACAGTTTTCCGCATTGAAAAACATATAAAAATGATAGCTTATCATCAATTTCTTTTAATTTGTGTCTGATTATGTAGTTTTTGTTTGCTGTTTTTTTATTGTGTCATTTAGATCTACACAAAGTATCCTTGTGTGGAACAGCAATACTATGGAGTTGTTTCAGCCTACGGATCTCAGAGCAGAGTACTGCTTCCTCTGAACATGGAAACAGAAGATGGAACAATCTATGTCAACTCAAAGCAATACCATGGAATCATCAGGCGACGCCAATCCCGTGCAAAGGCTGCTGCTGTGCTTCATCAGAACAAACTGAGTAGTAGATGCCGTAAGGTAATTATATAACATATCAAGAAACTATTTGATGCGTTGTTGCAAATTAATTCCAATTATAATTTATTTTCCCTATGTTATGTATGTTGCAGCCATATATGCATCATTCGCGGCATCTCCATGCATTGCGCCGTCCTAGAGGATCCGGTGGGAGATTCTTGAACACTAAAAGTCAGAACATGGAAAAAAGTGGAACCAATGCAAAGAAATCTGATGGAACTAAGCAGGCTCAGACTCAGTCTCAGCCTCAGCAAAGTAGCTCTCAGAATTCTGAAGTTGTTCATCCAGAAAGTGGGACCATGAACTTATCTAATGGATTAAGTGTCTCGGGATCAGAAGTAACAAGCATGAACTACTTTCTAAGTTCTTCACTCCATCCCCTTGGCGGCATGGTAATGCCTAGCAAGTGGATTTCAGCAGCAACGATGGATGATGGCTGCTGCAGTTTCAAAACCTGATCCTTTACCGTTGTTTCATAGTCAACGAAGAGAGAGGAGAAAACTCTTTGTCTTGAATAAGGACAATGAGTTTTTTCTTCTTCTTGGTTCAAAGGATTTTCCTTTTTGCCAATCCATTTGACTGTGAACAGGCAAATCATCTTTGGCTCATCCTCTATTAAGGTTTCTTCGCCGTCAAGTGAAAGAAATCTTGATTTTATCTGTATAAAACTGGTGATAACAGTGATGGGTTTTGGCAACTAACCCCACTTGTTCCAACTAGTGTGTGTGTGTGTTTATGCAAAATTCTAGTCTGATTTTCTGATGTCGATAGCTTTCTTTGTGTGTGTGTGTTCACGTTTCTGAAACAAGCAATTGTGAAAACTTTGTTATGTAACATATTTAAGACCTGTTTTTGTATATTTGGTTGAATTTATGTTATTTGCTTTGGAGTTGAAATCCCCTGTCCCGGCTAGAAATTCCCGACTTTTTTTTTTAATATGATTTTTCTTGAAGAAGATTTAAGTTTCTCAGCCCCCGAGTGCTTTGGTTATTTTTTAAGCATCTATTCACCTTGATTTAGAGTTTTATTTGCATGAATGTTTAGCGTTACAATTTTTGGGTGCATATATATCTCAACGTAAGCTTGAATTAGTATTACTATTACCTTATCTTTGATCACATTAATCTCTAGTTGCCTTCTTTATTCTATTAAATTGTACAGATTGGTCAGTTTGAGTGCAAAGGATTGTGCATTGATTTGAATAGTGATCTATGCTAATCAGTTGTTTCCAGATGTTATCATGTCTGTGTTCTTATATATGTTGTTCATCTAGTTTCTTTGGAAATACGGTAAAATATGATGCACTAAAATGCCACAGGTTCTAAATAACATAGTGAAGTATAACTACATGTACTCTCTAAATCAAAGTTTAATACAACAACAAAAAACAGACACTGTATCATAAAGGAAAACAAGTTTCAAAAGTGTTGTATTTGCACTAGAACATATGTGTTTTCATGACTTCTTCTTCATCGATTGTATAGGCCAAAAGACTTCATATTTCCCAGCTGGATCTAGTGAAATCCTAGCATAGCCTTGATTACACCATTCATTACCCCCATGAATTTTGTACCATCAAGAAATCCTTTTCCTTTGTAGTATCACCTTTGGCAACAACATGGACTACATGATCCTGTCCAATATTAGTCCGATGAATGGAAACATCATATATCTCATGAAGACAAATAAACATCACTGTTTGAATTAAATCACCCTAATATATAAAAAGTAATAGCTGAATCAATTACCTTTAGACCTATTTGGGACAATGTTTTTGTGTTTTCCAAGGAAATGGCTAGAGGAGTGTTTTCTAATACAGCGTAGACTTGTTCTCTCGAAAAATCTCTCTTTACTTCAAATCGTCCTTCAACCTGGTATCTTTGTGATCTCACCTAATCAAAAGAATTGTACGTAGTTAATAAAGAAAGTTGTAAATATGAATGGACTAGTAAATTAAATTTTTACTCACTTACCTTTCTATCACCATTAGTTTTGAGGAGACCTTCTTGAACAATGTAATCCAAAGCAATGTTTAAATTACTAATAGACAACTTTCCCGTTTTTGTCTTCACGTAATTTGTCAAGTCTTTAATTAAGAATTGATTGAGAATTCATGGTGTAAAGCCACAATTTTGTCTCGATTATAATGGACTTGTAAAAAACGGCATAAAGCAACAGATGCACATGTGTCTGACAAAATATAGATAAGTAGTTTTTAAGTTAGTGTGTACAACATATACTATAGGATAGTGTAAAATCATGGAAATACCTCCAACTTGATTAGAAACGAGTCCAATAACACACCTATTTGGGACAAGATTCTTATAATACAGTGACACTTGTTTTATCTCTAGAAAATACACTTTTTTTATTTAACAAAAAAAAAAGAAAATATACTTTTTTTATTTATTTCAAATCGTTCTTCAATCTTATATCTTGATCACCTAATAAGGATTGTAAGTAATTTATTTAGAAACTTCTAATAGAGTAAAAAATCTTAATTTTACTAACTTATAATCAATTTAATGTCAGATCTAATATATTTGAATGTAAGAAATACTGCCCTAAATATGCATTTTTTAAAAATTTTATATATAAAATCAGAAATAATAGTAAAATAGATAAAAAAGTAACCAAAAATTTAATCAAATCATTTAGTTCCATAAACAATTTGTAAGAAAAGTAGGAAAATAATAAAAACTAAACTAAATTGCTAATATATAACATGTATTCGAGTTTTTCAACTCTATATGTTTTAATTGATAATAAAACTAAAACATCGTTAGTGTTTAAATGCTAGACCATAAATAAAAGCTTTATCAGCTTCAATTTCAAAAAAAAAAAAAAATTCAACAATGGCAACAAATAACAAAATGTTATCAATATACAATAAACAATTATGTGTTTTGATAACAATCCTTTATTTTTTCAAAATGGAACAATGTCTAGTAAAATAAATATAACTAGAAAATTAAATACTCCCAAATTATGTCATAATCGGTGAATTATACGTGTATAGTCAACCAAACAGTATACTGTTTCAAGGTTTTCGATATCGAGTTTCTTAAAGTGGTGAGAGGTACAACCTAGATCAAAGTCATACATTACATATGATGGCAAATTAAGTCAAATCTTTAATAATTTTAACTTAATTAATCCTTAACGTAATCTAAGGATATGATGTACATATAAGTACCTTTTTTTTTAATCTTAACGTAATGACTTCCAACATTGTTTGTGTTCTTTAGTTTAGAGACTAATTAAGTGTTTGTGATTTATATCTATCGCAGCATGATCTGTTTACTTTATCCCGACTTCTATGATCCTCTGCTTATTTTTCATTGCTTTAGATGGCACATTAGCTAGTAGACAAATCCATACACAAGAAAATATATGGAGTTTTTACGAAATGGGTCCAGAGGGAAAAAAGAAGAGAAGATCAATATAAATGAAAAATGACCAAACAAAATGAAGCATTTGCTTGCTATATGCATTTTCAACTACATAGTCTAACGTAAAGGAAGAGTTGGACATGAACAAGTTTTGTATCGGATTTTGGAGATGGCTATGCAAACTGTGAATCTGTGATAAAAAGTCTTCTCTCTGCTTGGCAGATTTCTAGGTTTCAGAATAAGAAATCTTCATGGGTAGATAAGAAGATATTTAGCTCTATTAAAGCGTTTCCAGAGGATCCACCGTGACTATATCTAAGTTGGTGGAATCCTTTTGGATTTTTGGCGGAGAGTCTTGCCGAAGATTCTGACTCGTTCGCTGGAGTTAAGAACAGATCTGCCGGAGAGACAGAGCAAGGTGTGGGTAAACAGAGAGCAACTCTGCATCTCACTTATTCAACTTAGTAAAGTGACTTTGCCTTTTATTTTTTAAATACTTTTGTGTGTCTAGAGAAGATAGTCGATTATAACAATGTCTCGAGATGAATACATCTAATTGGCGTAAACTCTATAGACAAAATCTCGATTAAAATTTTGGAAGAGATAATGCTATTTTTTTCTCGCAAGAACTGCCTATGAGTTTTGTTGTTCATATGCAAAGTTGTTAACATATAAGCAAATTTGATTCTCAGATTATGTCAAATATCGAGTTGATTGTGCAAGGAACTCTACATTTTTTTTGTTTTTGTTTTGAGTCTCTCTATATAGTGACTTCAATTTTTTTAAATTAAATGAAAAATATTTAGAGAGCAAACAAACACTCGTTGAGGTTCGAATATTTTTGATATTGGCTTAAATCGATATAGACCTTTCTTTCGGGCCAACCCTAAAAAACCAAAAACGCCGGTTAAACAAAAAGAGCTTACCGCCGGCAAATAAAAGGCTTCAACGGCGTTTGTTCGTCTTCAGTTCATCTTCTTCTTCGCTCTGCGTCGCCTTCTCTCTCTCGAATTCCCAGGTAAGCGTCTTCGATTCGTACTCTTAAACAACTCAGTGGTTTCTCATTCACAAGTTTTCTCCCTTTATTAAGGTTTGCGTCGATCCCAAAGTAGTGAGATTCAAACCTAATTGTTCCAGTTTTTCTGTAGAAACTTTACATATAGATTAAGCCGTTATCTAGGTGTTTCGTTTGATACAGAGAGCATAAGTTTGACATAGATTGGTGGCTAGTGATGTTTGTGAGCTCTTTATGCGAATGTGTTAAGATTTTTTGGGTATTTGAATTTGCGTTTCGTCTCTGATTAATCTAATTTAGAGGCATCGTTCATAATCTCAGATTATTCAATAAGGCTGAATCAATTTTCCCTTATATTCACCTAAAAGACGTACTGGATCGTGGAAGACCGGCAATCATTCTGTAGACATGGTACGATCTGAGCCTTGTGTTCTGTTCGCTCAGACCTTTGTTCATCCTCAATTGGACGAATATGTCGACGAGGTAACCTTCCCAGTCTGTCACTCTATTGTTCTCTTGTTTATGATGCTCTTCAAGTGCTGCACTGTTCTCTTTTCTGAGCTTCTATGGTTGAATTGGGTATCTGGGCCTCGTTTATCTGGTATAAAATGCTTGGGTGAATAGTAACTGCGAACTACATTTATGCACGGGATTGGTCGGAACAAGTATTTCGTAGTGGTTTGGCATTTGCTGTCACAAGTAATTTGTTCAGTTTATCACTTGTGTGGATTTATATTATGTTCCGTTTAATTCTTATAGGTGATATTTGCTGAGCCAGTGATCATCACAGCCTGCGAATTTCTGGAGCAGAATGCCTCCTCTTCTTCGCAAGCCGTTTCCCTTGTCGGGTATGTTCTTTTGGCTGTGTATTCTTATTATTTCTTTCTGGATTTATTACTATCGAGGATCTTGAAGTAGTAATACCCGCCATTAAAAGTCTTGTTGGATTGCATTGTCCCATGTGGTCGACCATGTAGCTGTAAACTTGGATTGACTCTTTGATGCATAGTCTTGTTTTAAATGTAGTCCACGATGGGATATTTTCAATAACTGAGAGGAAGGATGATAAATGGGATATTTTCGATAACTGAGAGGAAGGATGATAAAAAAAACCCCGAATTTGTGCAAAAAATTCAGGAAAACCCACACTTGTTACAGTAACAAAATTTGAACTTTCCAGACGTGACTTTTGGAAACAATTTTTTGATTGAAATTTCAGACTCTAAAGTTTATGTTTTTTTTTCTTTATAAGTTTTTTGTCACTTTCAGACAAATCTTGATCTTGAGTCAATTCCCCTTCCAGCACAAAACAGTGCATGGATATTGTAGCTGAACCACGTGTAGTTAGATTTTTCGGGTGATATCTATGGATGTTTATCTAAATGTTGACAATATTCTTCGTTAGGGCAACTTCACCTCCTTCATTTGCATTGGAAGTGTTCGTTCGATGTGAAGGAGAATCAAAGTTTAAGCGACTTTGTA